CCACCCCCGGCCTCCGCCGACGCCCAGCCTTCATCCACACCCACCATCACCTGCCCTCCCCACCCATCACCCTCACCAACAGCACCCCAGCCAGGCAGGGCCCCACCGGCCCCCATCGCGCTGCCACCCCCGTCCCCTTTCTGCCTACAACGGCCTCAACCTCAACGGTCACAGGTAAGGCTAATAAACAACCGCACACAGCCACAGATCAGATTATTGTACAAAACATTCACGTCTCTAATGTCCTCATGTGCTCTGATGCAGAAAATTGTGTGCAGTGCAGTACAGACAAAACCTCCACATTTACACACACTTGAAAAATATCTCTTGAGCCCAAAGTATGCATGATGCACGATCAGTATGTAAATTGCTATCAGGGAGAGCTTGAAGTCCCCGAGCCAAACAGTAGCACTAATTATTAACTACGGAATAAAAGGGCCACACTGCACCCGGAGTGCCTTTGATTTATTAGCCACCCACATTGTCATCTGGGCTCTTTATACATTCTAGCCCCAATCAGTTACACTGGCTGTATGTGCCATAGTTTAGCACAACCTTGAATCAGTACCATACTGTTTTTATTTTATTGATGAGGTCATTTGTTCATGAGAACAGGAGGAAAATGGGCTCAAAGTTATGATATTTTTCCTTGAAAAAAAACTTCAAAGGGTTGTTAATTTTCTGAAGTTATAAAGAGTCCTCAGCGGAATTGCATTTTGTGTTCGAAAACATGATCACAGTAATTTTTCATATTATTAAAAATAAAAACTATAGTGCAAGTGCAGGGCTAAGTTTGGTCTGTTGTGTCCTATATGGGTTGAGAAGCACTGAGGCCTATGAGGCTCTCTCCATTAATTTAAGACTCCAGGATAGCTCCTTCAGAACCCACTCAGTCCCAACAACAGCTCTGCCTCGCAGGCTCTCAGGACTTGGCTTGGCCTCCTTCTCCCTGTGCCAGCCCTGCCAGTCTGCCAGTGCGCCAACAGGGCCTGGCACCCACTATGAATAATCACGGCTGGGGCCCACAGCGAAGAGCGAGCGCTGCAAATGAGCTTTTAGGCTTAGTGTGTGGAGCTGTGGAGACGCAGGCTCTGTGACTGCCCCCGGGGAAAACCCACACACACTACAAAAGACTGTTTGCTTACACATGCATACACACCCTCTCTCCCTCTCATCCCATTTCCGATGCACATGTTCACTACCTGGCTCTGTAGGAAGTGCCTTAACAGAAGCTGTTCAAAGACAGATGCTTGTTCTGTTATGCTTGCCAGCGGTGGTTTATTTGCATCCGAGGGTGTTGTGAATGTGGTGTTTTCGCGGATCATGTTTGCCCTGGATTCTGTGAAGCACAAGAGAGAGGCAGGGAGGCGTTTGTAAATGGAGGACAGTTGAGGTGTGAAAACACTGTGCTGGGAATTGAACGTTGGAGCAGATGGAGATGAGGGGATGTGGAGGAACAAGTGTTAATTTTGACTGATCACGCCTGGCTTAACCTGGCTCCTTTCTCCATCTTTCTCTTTTTTTCTCTCCCTCTCTTTACAGCAGCAGCAGGAGCAGCACCCCAGGCACCAAGCCCCACGGGCCCCCTGCTACCTCCTTACACCTCCCCCACCACCCACCTCCTCCTGCAGCGGCCACAGCAGCAGCCTCCAACTTCCCCCTGCCCTTGGCGGCTAACCAGAACACCCCCCACAGCTTCCCCCCTGCCTTGCAGTCCTCGCCGCACCCACATCACCCCAATATGTTCGCTCCTCCAGCGGCCTTGCCTCCACCACCACCACTTACGTCTAGCACCCTGCCAGTACCCGGACATCCTGCTGCTGGGAGTGCCTACTCAGGTAAACATCACTGCTGCTTGCAAACCCTCCACATCGCCCCCAGCTGGTGTGGCAGAGGATTGCACATTTAGCTGACAAAAAACAAAAAGCAGACTCTTATTTTAGCCAGTTTAGCCTCAGGTTGCCAGGACGAATCGAGACATACGAGAGGTACAGGAGGCATTATTTCAGAGCAGAATTTGATTGGAAGGTTCAGAGACAGACAGAATGTTATCCTCGTAATTATTTAAAGAAACAAACCACAGAGATAATGTACATGTTCTCCATGCCTGGGGTTTTGTGTGTTTATAGTCGTGTGGACAGTTCAAGTTCACACTCTGTCTGTCATGCTCTGATTGATCGACTTTCTACTTTCCAGTAATATCCACCAGCAAGTCAGGCCACATTGCAAAAGCCATTACAGACCCCGTGCACATTTCTGTGCCGGGCTGTCGAGCTAAATGTCAGGGTCAGTGTGTGGGAAGAGGAGGGGGGCTTGCCTTTAGCGATGTTCCCAGAACTTCCATTTTCACCTGGAATAGTGTTCATGTGCAAGAAATCAATTTGGTCAATACGGAATGGAGTGAGCTGGATTTTGTTCAAAAGATACTAATGAAATTTTTATGAAGAGAAAATTCCACCCCGACTCCCAGCCCAATAAAGCTTGAAATGAATGCAGGAAATATTGTTGCGAGTCACTGTGGAATAGGAAGGATAAGGTTACTCTGGAGGAGATGTAATCTCTCAAGGCCGGTTTTGTTGGATTTAGAAGAAAAGCCAGTGATTTCTTGAAATCCATTCTTTCTCCACAGACTGCACAGAGGTTATTAGAACAACAGATGTTGCTGTCTCAGAGGGGCTGTAGTGTATCAAATCACAGCGTTTGACAGTTCCAGCAGTCAGACAGCTCTAATCATCTCAAGCCTGGTTTAAATTTAAAATGACATGCTGATAATCGCAGCCATTTTCTGGTTGTTTCTTTTTTTATCACTTTGACATAGTTTTCTATTTGATGACATATGCAGCTCTCACACTGAAGTCTAGGGCCCTCCAGGGGACCCAGCAAAATGAGGAATACTCAATGTGTTTGTTCAGAGTCTGCTAAGTAAAAAAGGCTAGAGAAGACTTGTTAGTCACCTTCCCTTCATTAAGAAAACCAGTCCTAATCATAACTTCTCTCTTGTTCTACTCCAGAGCAAGACCTTCTGCGCCAGGAGCTCAACACCCGTTTCCTGGCCTCCCAGAGTGCCGACCGCGGCGCCTCGCTGGGCCCTCCACCTTACCTGCGCACTGAGTTCCACCAGCACCAGCATCAGCACCAGCATCAGCACCAACACACCCACCAGCACACCCACCAGCACACCTTCACGCCCTTCCCCCACGCCATCATGCCCACCCCAGCACCGCCCATGGTGCGTACCCCTGCCAGAAATGTGAGGATAAGTAGAACGCAACTGTGTTGGGATGGAGAGGGTGGAGGGAGTCGAAACTTCACCATAGCCAATGTTTTTATATGTCTTCTAATAATGAGTTTTACATGTGTAGAAGAGTGGGCGGGCATGGCACTGAAAGTGTTTTCACCTTGTGGTTGTGAGAGTGAAGATTTTACACAGATCGACATGTGTGTGAGCAGCACGCTGTAGGGACCTGTGGGTTTCTGTGGCAGCCTTTCAATGCTGACCATGTGTGTCCGTCCACACCACAATGATGCCTTTATTCTCCCAGAAAGCCTTTCTAGTGTTTTCTCTGGCATACTCTAGGACTCCAGACTTGAGTCGCCGTTATTTTCTAAATTGGCAATAACTTGCCCAAAGCATGTTAACTTCAGAGCCAGCTTTCAGAACATAATACACTTAATTCATTCTGAATTTAATGACATCATTTGGTCCCATTTGGGGGTTTTCATTACTGGCAAATGCCTTGCATTAAGAGCCACGCTGTTTGTTGGGGAAAACCACAGGCAATGGGTGGCTGGACCTAAAAAACACACCCACACACACAGACACAGACACACACATTCGTAACTGCCTGGCCCATAGAGGGTTCACTTGGCTCTGATGATACCTCAAAGGCAGCATGGCGAGGCCTCTGACAGCTAATGAGGCCATAAAAAGGCTCTTTATGGCTGCAGTGTTTAGTCTTGACTGGGGAAATGTTCGCCCTGAGCCTGCTCTGCACCACTAAAAGCAGACCAAATGAGACACAGAACCCACTCTAGTTTACAAGGTCTTCAGATGATCGCGAAAAAGGGAGGATGAAAACAGTCTGGTTTGGGAAGTGGTTGAACTTTGAATCTCAGTTGACATTTTAGATCTTGAATCATAATCTCAATCTGTAAGCATTTTGTTAGTCCTGAAATACAGTTTGTGATGCATTTTGTGTCGGCCTGAAATGACCTACAAAGAGGCTTTCTCAACCCTGTTTCAGTATATGTGTGTAGGTTATCATGTTTTCTTTACATCTTTGTACTTAGCTCTGTTTCATTTTTCCTACAGTTTGAAAAATACCCAACAAAAGTTGATCCCTTCTACAGACACAGTGTGAGTTTCCCTACTGCGTACTATTTGCCTGCAGAGCAATTTGTTGCTTGCCCATTATGCCATTCAAGCCCATGCGAGTTAGTGTTGTAGCTCTGTGTGTGTGTGTGTGTGTGTGTGTGTGTTTGTTTGTTTGTTTGTTTGTTTGAGATTCCATGCAATCGCTCATCTGCTTCTTAATGGATACTGTAAGCATCCTAGCTGTACCATTTCACCCCTCAGCCCCAGCAAATGTAATGATTAATGAAACAGTGCTGGATTCTTAGATCTCAGAGCACAAGATTTATTGTGGGTGCATGTAACAGTGAAATTCTTGTGCATAGAAATTAATAGAGAAAAAGACAGTGGCTGCATTACTGAGGAGACTGTGTTATCGCCAGAGGAATACTATATCTTTGTCTTGCTTACTACTCTCCATTTGTATTTGTCTGCTAACAGCAGTGGCTTGCTCATAATTATTACTCACTAAAGGGGACTTATTTTACATTGGACCCCATTCTCATACCATGTTTGCTGAAGCTTCCAAACACCTGCTTTGTGTGCCTGCACAAGTGTGGGTTTTCCTAAAACTCGCCCTCTGAGCTGCAGAGGAAGATTTTAATATCAGAAAAATCATGTATTCATGTTGCAGAATGTTGCTAGTTTGTTTTTTGTGCTTCATTTCTGATTCTTAGTATTTCCTTGTTGTTATTATGGTAGCAGCAAATACCCTGAAGCCATTTCCTCTCTATAAAACATACTGACGTTTTAAACATGATGCACAAGGAAACACAAGTTGCATAAAACCTCACAGCACATCCTCAAGTGCTTTTTATAACTCATCCTGGCAACCCAAGTTTAAATAATTCTGTTGCACCATCCATGTTTAAAGCAATGCAAGCATGCAAATTCAGAGACATAAAAAACATTCTCTACTTTCACTAATGTGATTGACAAGAACAATTATAGTGAGTAGTTGATTACATATCTGTTTCTCTGCAGGATAATTTTATGGAAGCTTTGAGCACTTGTTTTGCTTGTACTACAATATTCTAGTTTTCATTTCAAAGAAGTGTTTCCCTTATTTGCATCCACTGGGGATGAGCAGTAAAATATTTTATAAACTCGTAGTTTGTGAAACATGTAGGCAATTCCCCATCTAAGCAGTCTGAGAGTGGAAGATGGAAAAAAGATTGAATGATGTTGTTCATCCATCAGTATAAGCAGTTTGTTCCATCTCACACTGTATTATGAAGCTGTTGTCCTGCATTGTGCTGACAGACCGAACCATCCTCAAACCTCCTCTCCTTCTCTTCCTCAGCTCTTCCACTCCTACCCACCGGCCATGTCTGGCCTTCCCCCCGTCATCCCCCCGACCGGACCCTTTGGCTCGCTGCAGGGCGCCTTTCAGCCCAAGGTAAGACACACAGGGACACCGTCACACACCCACGATCTCGCACACAGATAGATAAATTGAAAATAGGAGTTATTTACAGAGAATCTGGTTTCGATCTGTGTCTGGTGCTCTCTAGACCTCTAACCCACTCGATGTGTCCACAAGACCTGGAGCCGTCCCACACACATTCTTACAGAAGGACCCCAGGGTAAGAGCACACACACTAACACTCACTATGTAGAGGTAACCTTTAGACCCACTGTATATGTTGCATAAGCCTTCGAGTTATCAAATGGAGCTTTTCACCATCAAATATTGTCGTTATAAAGAATTCATATGCAGTTAGTTTGTAGACACAGACTGTCTGTGTGTGTGTTCCTGGACCCAAGTGTTAATCATTCCTGAAATTTTAAAGGGAAATTCTATTTGGTTCATAATGAATGCTGCACACAGAGACTAATTAGAGGTGATTTGATTGACAGAAAAATAATGAAACCTTTCCCCCCTCTCCCTCCTGTAGCTAACGGATCCATTTCGGCCCATTCTCAGGGTGAGTGCTCACTCCCTGCAGTGCATCAGTCTCCTGCATCCTGACACAAACCTCTGGTGGCCTTACTGTCATGTTAAAGTCTAAAGTTGTCATGTTTTTGTCTTGTATGTACAGAAACCAGGGAAGTGGTGTGCCATGCATGTCCATATCGCCTGGCAGATATACCACCACCAACAGAAAGTAAAGGTGAGGACTCATCTGACTCCTTTTTCTCTGCTTTGTGCCAAAGTACTAACACAGTGTCCCAATTCCATACTATGTACTAATCTTTAGAATTCAGTTTTTATTCAGTTAGTATACAAGAAATTATGTAATCAAACTGCAAACTTTTTCATAAAATAGTTTTCTAGAGTTCATTCTCAATAATAATCAGTTTAAAATTTTCCAGCTTTGAGAAGCTCCTCCATTTCCTTTGTGCCATGCATTGTGAGAGAATAGTGCCCCAAACTTAAATGTTTTTTTAAGTATGTATATTGACTGACTGAGTAAACTTTGTTTTGTCACTTTACTGTGTGAACAGTGGTGTGTAGTATGGATTTGGGACACAATTCTAGTTCCTCTACTGGGTTAGGACTTCTCTTCTTAAATGGTCATTCTGTGGTCAAAATAATATTTTAAAGACAGAAGCTGATCTTTATACTCATTTGATATTTTGGTGATTTGTGATAGTAATTCTACTGTTGCCTTGACTACAAGTCACTTTACAAATGATTAAATTGCAGCAAGTAATTTTTATTGTATGGCTTTAGCAGTCAGTCACATCTTGAGTTTATAATAATGGGTCCACTGAGCAAAGCAGTCTTCTTTTAGAGTGTAATTCAGTGTAGCATGGCCATGAGAGGGAGTCTCTTGTCCCTAAAGGATCTTAGGTTTGATTCCTGCCGCACCTCAAAAAGTGTCCTTGAGCAAGACAACTATCTAGTCGCTCACCTACTGTGGTTTACTTAAAAGGGGCCTATTACGCTCATTGCCAGCTCTATAATCTTAGTCTGAGACTAGACTAGCTTTGCATGATTCACTCTTCAAAGCCATCCTTATTTGGCTTGTACTGGCCTCATGCAGCTCCTCAGTCTGTCTTAAACAAGCAGTCTCTTTAAGCAAACATAGCAGAAGCCTGCTGAGAGGCAGCACCCAGTGCTCGTGAGCACCTTGGCTGTGTCTCACCAGAGACTACAACCAGCTGAGCTGACTAACTTACAGTTTAGCCCTCCGCTAACTTGAATGGGGATAGAATTATTTAACTGTGCAGCTCTTCTAGACTTTCCAAATGTTACTGAGGGCCAGGCCTTATTAATTACTGTAAAAAAAGGACGCAACCTCTATAACTTCATCATATTTTATGAAGAAAAGATCTTCTGGTCTTCCTCTTCGTCCTCCAGCTGCTTTGCTTCAACTTTCAGTGATTTACAGAGTTTCCTGATGGACAGATTGCTTCACTTGTTGTTAGCAATTAACTACTTTTGCAGTGCCTGGAGTAGATTACCATATAAAGATTTCTGCCACAATCATATGGTTGTCACGTAAAGTAGAAAAAAGGTTGAAAATGTTGAACTATTCAGAGCTGAAAGTCTGAAATCCAAGCTTTTTGCTCACAGGGATTACTTTTACATATGTTTTCCTTATTATTTGACACTTTGGCCTTGTTTAATGTCAACATCCAACATTGTAACGCAATACATAGAAAAGGGAAAGTATAATAGGTCCCCTTTAAAATAAAAATGACAAAAATAAAGTGATAGTGATAACTTGTGTAAAGGGGTTTTACATGTGTTTCTCTCTGTCAATCTGGCATCTTCTAGCAGCAGATGCAGGTCGACCCTCACAAGCTAGACTTTGGCCTCAAGCCTGAGTTCCTGAGTCGACCTCCAGGCCCCAGCCTCTTTGGCGCCATCCATCACCCCAGTGACTTGGCACGTCCCGCCACGCTCTTCTCCGCTGCAGGTGAGTGTGTCAGATCTCTGGGTAGGAAGATCAATTGATGGTTAACAACAATACCCTCTGACATACAGCAGCAGTCCATCAGTTCCTGCTGTTCAGACTGAACTGTTGTCTGGTGATATTCTTTTCATCAATCTTATCTTATTATTGTTATTAAGATATAGAGTTCAGCTGTGAACAAACCAACGGTGGTGAATAATGGTAAATGGACCTGTACTTGTATAGCGCCTTTCTAGTCTTCCAACCACTCAAAGGGCTTTTACACTACGTGCCACATTCACCCTTTCACA